AAAAAAAAAAAAATCATTTTCTTTTCACTATAAAAGTCTCTCTGTGTTTGAAAATAATGAATGAATGAATGAATCTTCGCAGATTCAGTATATTCTTCAACGTCTGAGATAACCCTTTTCCCCCACAAGCAAAGATAAATTCTGGGTTTTTGTTTTTTTGTTTTTTTTTCTCAATGGGTTTCTCTAGAAGGGCGATATTTTCCCAATCTCTTGTTCTCTCTTGCCTCGTTTCGTTCGTGTCGTTTTGTCCCTCTCCGAGTTGGGCTTTGAAGAGTGAAATCTTGGCTTCGGATTCTGGGAAAGTGTCGTTAGGACTGTATTACGAATCCCTTTGCCCTTTCAGCGCTAGCTTCGTAGTGAATTACCTGGTCAAGCTCTTCGAAGACGATCTTATCTCTATCGTCGATCTCAACCTCGTCCCTTGGGGTAACGCCAAGATCAGGGGCAGCAACTATACTGTCGTTTGCCAGGTCCGGTTTTACCCCTACTCTCCCCACTCCATTTCTAGTCTTTCATGTCGTTTTTGGACTTAATTTATAGAATGAATTTTTCCCCCCAACCCAAAAAAAAAAAAAAAAAAGGAAAGAAAAATGCTGTTGGGTTCAGTTCTTTGCTTTTTAGGTCTTTGGAGTTGCAGAGTACATAATTTGAATTTTTTTTTTCAATGGTTTCAGCATGGTACATATGAATGCTTACTGAACACAGTGGAAGCCTGTGCAATCGATATTTGGCCTGAGCTGGTAAGATTTGTTGGAAAAAGGAATTTAGTATAGTTCTATTTTAGACAACTCTTGGGTATTCATTGAATAGAGTTGTTTTGATTGATCAAACAAAAAATGTTATTTTCTCATTTGGAAGTTCGCATATATGCAGAACAAGCATTTTCCTTTCATTTATTGCATTGAGGAGTTGGTGTTTGAGCGCAAGTATACCCAGTGGGAAAGTTGTTTTGAGAAATTGAACTTGGATCCAAAACCCGTGACTGATTGCTACACTGGAGAATACGGAAAAGAGGTTAGCTTTATTGCATTTTTCGTATTATAGATTCGTGTCTGTAAGTCGATATAACTATTTAAGGTTGGTACTATTAGATTACCAATCCATGAAAAGTTACAAAATTGCAATTGGTAGGATTCAAAAAAACAAGACCACCTGCTCTAATAACATGTTATCTTACCAATTCTTCCAAAAATCGAATTGGTGAGCTAACAAGGACGGAGTTTATGAAAGGTATATATACGATCCTTAAGCTGAGAATTTGGTGGGAGCTGCATTGAATATTCTGAGCTTTTGATCTGAACTCTGAAACTTTATTGTTTGTTCCTCGTGGGATTATCCTGAGAATCAATGTGCCTTGTTTCCCCAAAGTCTAGCTGCTATTTTCTTAGCATTATGGTGTAGAAAATAAAAATGATTTCTTTCTCTGCTGATCACTCTCTATGGTTTCCTAATCCTTGTTTAGTTTTAGTTTAGTTGAGGCTGTGTTTTTCCGTGGAATGTATAAATTGTTTATTATCCCCGTGCAGCTTGAGTTGCGATATGCAGCTGAAACAGATGCCCTTCAACCTCCTCATGAATACGTGCCTTGGGTAGTCGTTGATGGGCAACCACTTTATGAGGTTTGCCTTTTGTTTTCCACATTCTTTTTCATATTCCTAATCTCGCTTGTCTTTGCCACCATGGACGTTCCAACGATTGAGTTACATACTCGGCATCATTGATATACACTTTAGTTTTCCTAGTGTGATTCTCTCGATTACAATCTCTTCATGAGTTCAAGAGACTCATCAACAAGTCCTTCCGGAAATAATAGTACTTGCGTTGCTGTAGGACTACGAAAACTTTTTAAGCTACATCTGCAAGGCTTATAAGGGCACTGCGGCACAGACCGCTTGCAGTAAGTTATCCCTCAATACCATTAAAATGGAAGGAGCTGAGCTTAGTAGTCCTGTCTGCTACAAAGAGGAAGAGAAGATTCCAACATCATGGAGTAGAATAAAATCAGCCATAATGTGATGGATGCGCCAGATGAATATGGCAGCTTCGGCATAGATGTTCTGCAGTTGTGTAGTAAACTGTCTCTGGAATCTGCTAGTGCTATTATCCATAAAGCTTGTTTATATTATCGTGAACTTTAGATGAGACTGTACTGAATCTTTTTATACGCTGGGTCAGTTTTCTTTTCCGTGTCAAACAATTACGAGAATGACAATAATGCTTGTGCTAAAGACGGGTGTTTTTACGTTTGTGTTGAATGACGAAAATTGCAGTCAACTTGTGTCATGTTTGAAAAGTCCATCCCATATCCAGAGCCAAGTAACAGAGACATGCTTCGGACTTTAGGGGGCACTCAAACGGAGAGATTGAGTAGAAATGATCAAATGAATCTTTGAGGGTTTTTTATTTTTTATTTTCTCTTTTTATTTTTATTTTTTAATCAGCGTCAACGTTATAAGTTCTTAGGATATGCGTTTGGTTGCCGTATTCGTGTCATGATTCGAATTATAGTTTGTGATTTACTATAATATTTTTTTACACAAAAAATACACATAAATCAAAAATAATTTTGAGTCATAATTCTGAATTCATCTATACTATGCTGGTCAATTCAAACATAGCCAACAGTGTCATGATTCGAATTATAGTTTGTGATTTACTATAATATTTTTTTACATAAAAAATACACATAAATCAAAAATAATTTTGAGTCATAATTCTGAATTCATCTATACTATGCTGGTCAATTCAAACATAGCCAACGACCTTGTACGTTGGACTGAGATTATTACCAGGCCTGGTTCCGAGCCCGAAGCCCGAGTGATTGAACCTGGACATTTACAGGCATGCTACAAGTTAAGTTTTAAGCTTTGCATTGACGTATAGAGAATGTTACAGTTAAAAATACTTAAAAATCTTAAAATTCATAAAAATTATAAATATATAGAAAAAAATCACAACTCTCATAAAATTTAAAGATAATGTACACAAAAGTACAAACATAATTTTGTTCAGTACACAAAATTTAAATGATATTATTGTGGTATATTTTATAATAGTTTTAGTACTTATGATAAAAGTTAATCTAACTTTAAAAATCATAGCATATTGTCTAAATATCTCATTAAACTTTGCTTGGGCTTACCGTGAGCCTACTTTAAATTTTGAGAAACCAAAATTATAGGGTGTGATTCCTAACTAGAGTGTCATCCACTCATTCTCTCCGAATTCTATAAGAAAGTGAAGCAGAAATTTATAGTATCTAAAAAAAGGCATAAATGTTTGTGCGCCCTCACTAAAGGGGCAATTCTCTAGATTTCTCTATTGCACAAATAAATAAATAAATAAAGTTCCTCTATATTTCCCTTGAATTTTCTTCACTTTTATCTTGAATCTTATAACCCCCTAAAAAAATAAAAATAGAAAAAGAATCTTATGACCAAAACAAAAATTGGGATTTCAAGCTCCTTTAGATTAGGCCAATTTAGCGATGCAAATTAGACTCTTTTGAGTATAGGGCAAAGACTAAGAGCCCTACTAATTATCACTTTTTTTTTTTTCCATTCCTTTGCTTTCCCAACATTTAAAAAAAAAAAAAGAGAATTTATCCTTAAAAGTGAATGAATTTAAATCTTTATTTTTTACTCTTGATAAATATCTTTTTATTAGTATAATTCTTTACTTAAAAAGATTATAAATTAAGAATAAAAAATAAAAATTTTAATTCATACACTTTTAAAAAATATTTATCAAAATTACCCTTCCATTTTTTTTGTTCCCGAAAGAAATTAGAGCACTTCGAAAAGCCCAATGAACAAAGACCCCCCCCCCCCCCCCAACCACAGCCTTCTTATTATACATGATAAAAAGTGCTGCCCTTTTTACAGAGAAAAATGAATGTACGTAGATCATTATCTAATGTCCTCCTCACAATGCTTGGAGTGACCACACTAGCCATCCCATCCAGCACAAAAGTACCTTATGATTAGGTTCTTACTCTCAAAGTTAACGAACGGTCAATTCTTATCTCACAAAAGTCATCACATACGATCATGTGGAGCCAAAGCCCAAAGGGGATTTGATTATTTACCACCTGGATTTTGCAATCTCAGTTTGTCCTCTTGTTAACGAAGATAGCAGCTGACTCTTTAATAAGACTACGGGTCCCCACACCAAAAACGCTCTCAACCTGACTAGTCTAATAAAATTGGTGACTCTCTCTAGTTCCACCCTGACCTCACCCTCAACCTTTTCTTTTCTTTTTTCTCTTCTATTTGGGTTTCAAGGATATATATATATATATATATGTGTGTGTGTGTGTGTGTGTGTGTGTTATATACACATGAATAATAAAGTTAATCAAAGCTTGTGCAAAGCGTGGCTTATCAAACAGGTGAAGTTGAAGACGGTGGAAAACGATGATTTTTTTGTGGTGGTATCCGATACTTTTAGAGAGAGGAGAGAGAGAGAGCATCAAATGTATCATGCACCGTCTGTCGGGAAATCTACGCTTCAGATATGCTGTCGGCTTCTCAAACTACAGTTTGTCAAACCATATGGGACCCACTTTTTTAACACTGGCCCTGTGCCTGGTTGGGAGGTCATAATATATCTCTCCATCTATTAATCTCAGCATTTACTTCAGCTTCTTAACTATCACGTTGTAAATTTTCACCAAAAAGAAAAAACTCTCACGTTGTACAACTTTTTTTTTAATAATGGTTTCTGGCTTTTACCACTTTGCTTCACTGCAAAGGTCATCCCATGATCCGTCTCCTTCCAAATTCCTACAAATTAAACAACCTAGTTGTGGGGGACCTTTAGTAAAAAAAACAATATATATATATATATATATATATATAGGCAAGGTCTTTAATCCGGCTGTTACTGTTTGCCGGATTGAAATGACAGATGTATAATTCTATTGTTTTCGTATATATTTATATGTAAGGTGTGTATATTTACATGTAAAGATGTATATGTTAAGTTATAATAAATGAATGTATATTAATCCTCGAAACATGTATTTTTTTATAGCAATTAAGTGAACATATAACATAAAAATATGTATATTTACTGATTTGTTATATTTCATGTTAATGAACGTAAGCGACAATGTATATAGCGAAATATGCTTTTAGTATCTTGTGTTCTTGATAATATTAAATTGATACCTCAACGTTTTTAAAAACATATTCTTAGTACTCTGAAGTTGATTTTTAAGATGTAAAATGACCTTAGTACTCTTTTAATTAATCAAAATCTAATAAATCTTGAAAAAAATCATGAACTCTTTATTTTATTATTTTCTTTTAAATATTTTAATGTCTTAAAATATTTTCATTTTTTTAAGAAACTAGTAAAAGTAGCACGTGCAATTGCATGAATTTAACTGTTATATTTATTGTCTATTAGAAAAATAATTTTATGATGTAAACAAATAAGTTCTAACTAATCGCCATACTCTATTATTTTTCTTAACATTTAGACCGCACAGCTTATTTTGATGGG